TTCAGGAGAGGTACTAGAAGAAGTATGTACCAAATTACAGGTACTGCAAAAGCCAGGAACTCATATTGGATCAAACTATGATGCTACACACTGCAGTGGAGGTTGGATAGATTGCAGTGTAGTTTTAGAGACACTTCCCATAGAATCTGTCCTTACCTGTCTGCATTGCTGTTAGAAAGTACCTGCAATTGCAAATGATGGACACAGGGAAGTACATCTATATAATGATATTTTTAAGATTGCAGTTTTAGCCTATCAGTATTTCTGATTTGGTTGACTAAGAAGTCGTCTCTGCTTGCATTTTAGGTTAAGGCTCAAAGGATTGTGCTTCCTTTCCCTTCTTCTGTCTCTAATCTTACACTGAGAGTAATCCTGGGTATTAATATATGTTCACTATTTCACCTTAAAGCTGTCCCATCAAAGTTCTCTTAATACCTTGTTAAGAAAGGTTAGTAGTGCACAGTAAGTGACTTTTGAAGCCAGTCAGTATTTGTATCAGTTTGAATGGTTGCTTCAATCACATAGACCTGTAATGAGTAGCCATGTAGATCTTTCAGAATAATCTTGGTTAAAATAAATGAGAGCTAGAAAATGTCATGACTTCTGTTGAGGTCTCACTAAGACTGTGGTGAACATGACACATATTGGTTCAGCTGGGCATTTTCTTGGTGGATTTGCCTGTTGAAATATGTAAAACTATTTTATGTCATGTGTCAGACAGGGTAAGTGTTACTTCTGAATTTGCCAAGACATCTTCATGAACACTTTTGTCTCCCACAGTTACTGAACAAAAGACACATTTGGGAGCCCACTAATTCAAGATGTGAATGGTTCCAGTAGCTGCCTATTGTCTTAGTAGTAGTTCTCCTGGTTTGTACTCTTGACTGAATGGATTTGTTTACAAGAATTTGAATGGCATGTTGACAGAAGGCCTTATAAAAGTCTGTGATGGTGGTTCATTAATTAAATTTATTAAAAAATGCAGATATGAGTCAATGGTATACATTGTCAAGTAAAGAATTTGAAACCCTTTAATGCTAGAAATGGCCTTCATAGTCAGCCAGGCACTAATTTGGCATAGCACATGTAAGAGAAGCATTTGTTCGTTCCATATTTCAGTGGACTTTCATAATTGATAGATTTTGTAAATTTATGTGTTTTTAAAGTGAGAGAAGTCATCGGCTTAATAGTAGACATGCATCATTCCTTTTTGGATTGTAACTGTGATAGAAGGGTTCTTATTATAATAGTACAGGTATTAAACACACATCAAAGACATGCCTTTTAACATACCACAAGTATTATATCATAATGCAAGGATGAAATAGTTATGGTGGTTTAAGTTATAGTAAGAATAAAATTACTGCAACTGGTTTTAATGCTTTATTGGAAACGTTGTTACATTCTGTTTTGAAGGGAAAGCTTTCAGTAGGAAATACATCCAGTGTTACTTTTTCATTGTTATTTGAGTACATTTTGAGGTGGCCAGTTGCTTTATTTGTGCCAGATCAAAATATTCTCTTAGACTGAAGATCAGTAACTGGTGTTCCCACCTAAAGCAAGGTGGCTCTTTTCTGTGTGGACTGTGGTGTTTGTGCAGCTGCACAGTGAACCAGATAGGAAAAGTAATCTGTCTTGAAAATAATCTTCTTTTCTTTTTCTAGGCTATTTTTCAGCAGAATCTAGTTGTACAGCTGCACAGCGAACAGATCAGCAAACAAATGTGCTGGTACACAAAAATGAGTTTTGTGGGAATGGGAAGGAAGAGTGAAGCAGTGGGGGAGGGCAGAACTGCTGAATTAAGTGCAACACTGCTAAAATATTCTTTGAACATCAGCCTTAGTTCTAACCAAAACATTTGCTTACTTTCAGTAGAAAAATTACATATTAAAATGCAGGTGTAACTGGATTGTCTTTCAAGTATTTAATCTTTACAAGCTCTGGTTGGTATCTTAATAGGACCTAATTGAACAGTAGAATATTGGCACAAAAGCAAGCTAGCTCTGTTATAGATTTTGTGCATTAATAGCTGTTTTATGGACTACATACAGTTTCTATAGGAAAGACTGAAAATTAATTCTTGGTAAGAAGAACTAATACTTATAGAGCTTCCAACTATTGTGAAGTTTTTATATTCTTGTGAGCTCTGAGAAAGAGCCCGTTCTCAGCAATTTTTTACAAATAGCTAACTGTCCCTTTGAAGAAGGCTGTCCATTTTTTTATCCATTCCAAATAAAATAAATGCCCCTATCTGGATAATTGACCTAGTAGATTGCTACTGTATTGGTTTAGGATCATTTCCTAGTTTGCTTGGGACTTTGCATTTCAAATACTTCCCAGCTGAGATTTTTAAAAAGTTTTCATGGTGTGTTCAGTTATGCATAAATGCTTTCTGTACTATTTAAGTCTTATCTGGTATTAACTTAGCAAATAGGGCTTGGATCAGTTAGTTAAAGGTCTGTTCTTACAAAGTGCCCCTCCTACTGGGCTGTAGGTTTTCAAATGAATGAGTTTTACTTAAATCCACAAACTCCTTTCGCTGAAATTGAAGAGGGAAGAAAATACAGGAGATGGGTGAGAACTAAAGTTAGAAATGGTTAATTTTCACTTTTTAGATCTGTGGCCTGTTTTCCCATTTGTATATGCAGAAGCTAATGGCAGTTTAAGACTGATAAAACAAAAAGAGATTGTTGTTATTGAAAGACATTTTAAGAGAACCATAACAACATTTTAATTAAATAACAATGCATTAATTTCATATTAACATTTTTATAAATAGTTTATCTTAAAAATGTGTGCTAGATTAATAGGACTTTGTATTCTAGTATTTGTTAAAAATGTGAAATTTAGGAAATAAAGAGTAGGTTCTTTGGATTTTCAGACTCCAGGCTTTTTTTTGAACCAAATACAAGTTTGAGATGGGGCGGAGGGAAGGGGTGCTGCAGACATTTCTCGTGCATGTACGTTGGAGTGAATACCTGCAATATAGAAAGGCATTAAAATTTTCAAGAGTTGTAAGAAAAACTATCCTTATACAGTCAGAAACTTTATTTCAAGAAATATTTCTCTTTTTAAAAAAATGGCATTTCTCACAGAGCTGTTACTCTGAGCAGTTCTTAGTAGAAATTAATTAGGCAAGTGCTTAACTTCTCAGTGCTGAACAGAGAGAATGTCTTAGTTTGGTAAGAATATTGCTTTGTCTTTATTTTTAACACCTTTTGTCCTTCTGGGTTCTCTCTTACTTTAGCTGAAGCATGTGTTTGGTGTGGAACTTGTAGTTGCCCATGAAATACTGCTAAGGCACTTTACTTATTGTGGCATTCAAGATGAGTAATTTATAGGAGTCAAAGATGTTTTTTAAAGATGGGCGGTACATTCTTCAGAGAAAACAAGGAAAGAAAGTTGAATAACAAGGGAGAGAAACTGAAATAATTTGGGAAGGAGCATGGGAAGGGGAGAAATCAGTGCATTTCTGTTACAAATATTTCAGGTTATTAAAATTGTTGGGAACAGACAAGAAAACAGGTTGGGGGAAGAAAGCTGGGCACTTAGAATAGTCTAGTCAGCATTCTACACTAAGAAAAATGCTGTAGTACGTGGGTTGCAAGCACTAAAATGATAGATGTGGCTTTCAATTGAGTTTGCATTTTGTATGACCACGTAATTTGAATCCAAGTTTGTTTTAAGTAAAGCCTAACTCTTGAACTAGTTTTCTAGTTTCAGTGAAGCAGTTGCTGATAAATAAACAAAAATTTCACCCAAAATCATGTTTGTATTCCATGCTCTAAGTCATAAATAAAATACTATATAAAGAAGAACAGTTGGAATAGTAGGCACTGTGGGTAAGTTTCAGGAATCCAAGGGAAATTGAATCAAAAAGGCTTTTAAAAAAACCCAAAACTACACCTGACTATTGTCAAAGGTACCTTTAGTTTAATAGATTAGATACCGTAGGCAGACAGTGGTTTAGCTTAGAGGTATGGTGAGTTTTCCATGCAGAGAAGATAATTCTTTGCTTATGTACTGCTCAGGTACTGTGACCTCAAGCCTCTGATATAAAAATCTTGCGTATGGATGTGCAGTCGTGCTGCATTTAGTGTGAGTGATCTGCTTGCCCTGATGAATGGGGAGGGGGTGCACTGGGCAGCACTGTGAGCCATTTCTGAAATGCCTGCTGGTGGGGCACACTGTTCATCTTTTCCACATGTACACATTCTAACTTTGGAGCTTGTGTTAGGGTGGGGTTGTCCTGCTGCCTGAGGTGTCACGAAGGTCTCGTGTTGTTCTCGTGCGCAGCTCAGTGGAACGTGGCAGGTACTGTTGTTTCCAGCCCTGCCCTTTACAGTGCTGTAGTTTCTTACCAACATCCAGGAGATATTTTCCCTCATATCTCCCCTGTAGTGGGTGCCCACCCATCAAGGAGCTGTGGAGGGAAGAAGGGGAGTCAGCAGGGAATCAAACGAGTGAACAGTTAGGCAAAGGCTGACAGCAGTAATAGGCAGAACCTTTTCAACTTTGGTGTAGCCTTGTCCTCAGGCTGCCCTTCCATATTCTCTTGAAGGGATTTGAGAGTCTTAATGTTCCTGTGTTGAGATCAGCTATATAGAATTTTGTGCCACTGAAATGTACAGAATTTGGACTTCAGCTTTCCAGTATTTTACATGTACAAACACTACCTGAGAGGTTAAACATGTCAGCTATTTATAATTACCTAGAGAATAATTAAGCTTATTTTAAAAGAAACAAATAAATAATCAACTCTTTATGCTTGTTCTTTTTGAGACTTTTTATTATGGGTACATGTATTTTGTAAGCATCTTTGTTCTCTAACAAGAATTGCAATAGAAGATACAACATATATAATAGAAGATCTAACATATTATATAATAGAAGATCAAAAATATTGTGCTAGGGTTATTACTATTTTAATTGAAAATAGTGAGGACAAGTATTTGAATTTGAAATTGGGCTGATAATGCTCAGCTCTTGTATTTCAGCAATGAATCATGATCATAGGTCACAAACTATTTTAACCATTAGGGCATGGAGAAAAGGTACCATTCAAAGCTAAACACCACAATTAGGGATGCATGACTAAAGTTTCCAAGTAATGTGTTAGTAGTATTGTATGAGACAGTCACATGAAAAAGATCATGAGGTTGTGAAAAGGATTACGATCATGCTTTAGTCATGAATTTCCTGATAGAGACATTTTAGTCTGGATCTTGCTTGTTTAAATCAGAGTAATTTGACTTTGCTTGTTCTGGTTATATTACCAGTATATAGCGAAGGGGGAGAAAAGCTGTCTTGCCTACAAAAAATAGTATCCTCTGAGTAACTGAATTCTACCTGACCTTGAAATGCTGTTTTCAGTACTGAGAAGCTGAAGTAAAAAAGCTTCTTGAATGGTTTGCTGGAGCATTACAGTGAACAACATGTACTTACCTGTTGCTGCCATCTCCTGTGCAAGCACATGGAAGTTCACCTTTCTCCCAGGGCATTCATTGGTCTTGTGTGTGCCTAAACTGCTTATTCCAGATCCTGAACCTGCTCTTCACATTAAGTAGCGTTCAACATCGTAAATCCTCAGTTGATGAAAATCAGCATGTTCCTAAAGAAATGTGGAGCTGTCTTGACCTGTCAACAGTCATATTCCTGATTACTGCCAGGATGTTTCTGCTTCCTGGCATGCTGTAAGTCAGGGTCCAGATTCTCAGCCTGCATAAGAAAAAGCATATGTCCTTTATTTAAAGGTGTTTCCAGGCAATCATGCAGTCTGAGGGCTGACCCAGTCCAGTGACTCTTGGATAAAGATTTGCAACCTGTTTCATTCTACTCCACCAGTACCAGCATTTACCTGTTTCCTCAGAGGAAAATGGAAAAAACTTCTGGAAGATGTTTGAGAGACTTCTGATGTTTTTTTACTAATCCCGGTGATGTATTTATAACATTAGAGATGCCTTCAACAGACCCTGTGAGTGAAAAAGACTTTATGAAAATAATATCCCAGTAAACTTTGGGGGTTGAACTCATCATGATAAACTACTTGAGAAAGTTTGTCACAGCCCTTAAATCAGTTACTGGAATGTAGGTAATTGAGCTGGAGACAAACTACAGTTGTTCCAGACTGATGATTGAACAGTCGTTTATAAAAATAAAACAGTAATGTGCAATGATTAACCATTGAGCTATCTGAGGTCCCTAGAACCAGTTTTGATGCAGATGCCTCCATTTGACAGATATTCTTCTGGTCTTACATTTTTAAGTGGGACAGTATTGCAAAAGACAGCTCTACCTTTTCTTAATTTCGTAAGCATTTGAAACTCCAGTGAAAATTGAATTTCCATATTTTGTATTTGTAGAAATTTACAGGAGAAAGATTTATTTTTTTTTCCTCCAGTCTTCTGTGTTGATTCATTTATTTGCTATATAAAGTCATTAGAACATATCCCCTTCCTGTTTTTCTTGAGTGCTTTTCTCTTCCTACCTGTTGCAAGTATAGGAGCTTCCAACAGGTTCTCTGTGTCTGTGTGTGTAATAATGTGGTTGCCAGATATTATGCACAAAACAATAAGCTGGTATTTTAGGAAATTAAGATGGACTTTATTTGTGGTTTGGTGCAAATCACTTTCCTGAACAATTTCATGAAGCACATTTTAGTTAGGGAAGGACAACTGATTTTACTGTGTTTTGTCTGAAAGTCAGTGTCATTTTAGGGTGTGTTCACCAGGTCACTTTGTCTTTTTGAATGGAGGGTCAGTGACAGCTCTAGTCAAGGTGCACATAAGAAACTAAAACTGCTGTCAGTGTTAAAAGACTAAAGCATGCTTGCCCTGTTTGCTGTTTTCTTACATCCTTGTGTTTGCTTGCAGTGTCTTGGTAGCATCAGAGTATACAGAAAACAGGGTGGATGGACCTTCTGTCCATGTCCTTTCTCTCAGCTCTCATTTCCTTTTCAACCATATTCTAATGGCTGATAAGGAAATTAGAATATACTTCTGTATTTGTTTCCTTTGTCCGTTTTAGTCAATCCCATTAAACTGTTCTTAATCATCCTGTGACTGTTCAGATTGGTTTGGAAGCTCCGTGCTACTTTCTTTTTGTTGTCTGCTCCTTTGCTGATAGCAGGGCTGGATTATCTACTAGTTATCTAGCAGAACTGTTGTGAATGTTACACATTTTATTTGGCTTGGTACCAAGCAGAACAAATTAAGTGTTTCTAAAAAACCCTGGCGGTGTTTATATGATTATGTATTTAAAAAGAAAACATGCATTTTAAAGGTTGTTCTCTACCCAAAATAAGTCTCTAGAAAATAGAAGTAGAAAATAGAAGAAAATAGAGACAAACACAGCTCAGTACAGTTCTTGGCTTATATTTAGTTTTCTAGTTTGATAACATTTTTACATACACTTGGATTTTTTTCTTAAGTTTCATTTATAATAATTATTCCAATGTTATATATATATATATATTTGCTAGCAGATGTAAACAAGACAACTGTCGTATTTTATAAAATAATGAATTGTTTTCAACTCTAAACACAAGATACACTATTGCAGTGTCTTCTTCATAATCTGATGTTGAATCTTAAGTTTCTTACATGTAATACTAAATTGAAAACTACATTTTCTAGGTGATATAGTTTCTAAAAATCAGTTTTAATTCCTTTAAGCTAGATAGTGTCAGCATTAACAGTATTTTTTGAGTTGCATAAGGAGATGTTTCCCATAAAACCTTAGTTTTAAATGAATGTCCACGTAGATCTTTCAAGTCAGTGAGTCTGTGTAAGTAAAAGTGCTAAAAATATGAACATTTAAGCAATACACTGAAGTTGGTTAATGACATCTTATTTTTGAATTAGTAATGGCTGATTTCAAAGCAGGGAATTGTGCAGTGTGTGTGTTTAGTGGAGGTACTTCAGCAGCACAAAAGAGAACAAATGATACATGGGATTTCAACTGTCTTGTCTACCTCTCACCCCTATGAACAAGAAAATACAGTATTGTTATTCTAAAACAGTTTTTATTCTTTTATAACTTGGGTTTTAAGAAGATTTTTGATATCATAGGTTATCATAAGCATAGATGCCTCTGAATATATACACAAAAGTGTTATGACTGACTGTAAATGCTGTAAATCTTGTAATCACCTCCTGCAAGTATTGTACGTTAAACAGCATCTCTAAAATACACAGAGTCTATCTGACTGTTAGATAAGAAAAGTACACTGATAAAAGTACTGCAGTTGTTATTCATTTAATGCCAATATATAAAAAGTTTTATGAGCCATTCAATTGGCATAAATAAGTACCAGACTGATATGTAGTACAAGTGTTGAGATTGCTTTTACACCTAAGTGCTTCCCCTTGTGTTTCTTGTAGGAAACAGAGATGAAGGTACACATGCACACAAAATTTTGCATCATTTGTTTGCTGACATTTATCTTTCATCAGTGCAATCATTGCCATGGAGATGGACATAACAATGGTCCTAAAAAGGATCGTGGACACTACCATAATGACTATCAGATCTCAAATGAATCGTACTTCCAGAGTGGAGGAACAGAATCTATGCCGAGTAAATTTTCAACGTTGGAAGCTGAAAATGAACAAAAATACTACATTGAAAAGATTTTTGATCGTTACGGTGAAAATGGAAGATTATCTTTTTTTGGCCTGGAAAAACTGTTAATAAGCCTTGGTTTAGGAGAGGTAAAAGTAGTGATGATAAATCATGATGATATTGGCCATGATCATGTTTCTCACTTGTATGCTTTAGAAGTACAGGAAGGAAAGCATTTTCACTCTCATAACCATCCTCACAGCCACTCAGATTCAGAAAACCAAACCATGATTGGTATGTCTGCAAAGAGAAATCATAAATGTGACCCAGAGAGAGACACAGTAGTGCCATCAGTAAAAGATGATGGCAAACACATTCATGACCAAAGTCGCCGTCACCACCACCACCACTCTCGTCCACATCGCCACGACCATAATGGCACCCATCACTCTCGTAATGATTCAGTCAGTCATCGTGAGCACGGGGAACAGAACCATGAACCTTCAACAGAGACAAACACAACTCAGGATCAGCCAGAAAGAAAACAACGGAAACAGAAGAAGAAGCAAAAGAAGATCAGTGAGACTTCAGGAGATGCGACCTGGGATTATGCCCCAGATCACGATCCCGGTGATCAGTATGAGCACAATCGTGTTCATAAACATGATCATGTACACGATGCATCTCACTTGCATGTGCACCATCATGACCACAGCAGTGATCGTTCTAGTAGTCATGGGCATCAAGATGCCAGTTTAGGTAATGACGATGGACACCGAAATACCAGCAAGCGAGAGGCACCTCGCAAGCAGATCAGTGTAAGAAAACGTGCCCTTGTTTCAATGCGTAGTCACAAGGATCGTGAAGAGGTGAGTATGAAATGGGGAGCTGGGAAGTTGAGTTCCACTGTTGTTACATTTTACTGTATGTTGAAATAATTGAAGGTGCATACCCACAAATAACAGAGAAGCACGTTTGTGACCGTGGTATAATACAAGTTGCAGAATGAAAATCCTAGAGGTTACTGCCACAATTTTGAATTAACTTTATGAGTTTTCTTTTCTGTCTGCCCATCACCCATCTTTTCTGAGAGATCTGTCTTCTTGCCTATTTTTCTGTATGAAGTTGATCCTTAAAGGCTTTCTGAGATATGCTGCTTACAGGTGTGAGGTTTTTTCCCTTCCCAGTATTGATGAATACTGCAATGACACACAGAAGGAAGTTTTGGACTTCTTTATGAATCTGAGATCATTAACATTTTTGAAAGCTGCACAGACACTCTTTCTTAAAATAAATATCTGCATCTTTTCATAATGCTTCTAATGTGTTTGTCCTAAGAGATTATGAAGCAATTGTACATATAGCTTCTGTAGGACTATGCTCAGTGTAAGATCATCTGTTTCTTCCTTCAGCATCCTTTATATCTGCTAGCACCATAAATAACCCCTTACTACAGAGGCTGATACCATAGTTTTAAACTAGAAGTCAGGATAGGAAAGAATGGAGTGGGTGCTAAGTTTGAGGTTTTAAACTGAATTAAAAAGTGCAACTCTAAACACAAAAGGTTGGTAGATAAACAGAAGTGTTAGTAAACCTATTTTGGATATACATTCTTCCACTCCTTACCTGTTGCTCTTTCTTCATATCCTTAACTGTGTAATGGTAAAGAATACGGAAACTCATTTTCATTAATATTTATCAAGTATTATATAGGTGTTGGGAGACTTGAATTTGTAGTCCGGGTATTTTTACTGTTTCTTTCCCCTCAAAAACCACTTAGGTCAGCTTAAAACATGTTTTAGCACTGGTGGAATGTTTTGGCCAAAGTTTCTGCTGTCTGTTTTGTGTTCTCAAATAATATGCTAAATTTTCCATAACTGTAGCTTTTAGTAAAATAGTTGCTGTTATATTTAATTTGTTTGTACAATTTGCTTGCAGTGCTTAAATGCTACCCAGCTGCTACGGTACTATGGTCTGGAAACCAGCTCTCTAATATCTCCTGAATTGTTCGTGTACATATGTCCTGCTTTGCTATACCAGATTGAGAGAAGGCTTTGTATTGTACATTATGATGAGTTTGAAGATATTATGAAAAGTAAAAATGCATCAATTGACAATAAAGATAAAACAGGTGCATCAGGTAGGTGTGTAACATCTAAAGCTTTCTAAATCATTTTGCAATTTAAATATAAAACTTCAAAGTTTGACATGTCATACAGTTTATCATTGCTTGTAAAGGAATGGTTGAAATTTAACATGCTAGAAGAAATTTAAGACAACATCATCCTTTAAGTAAGGTGACATAGCATTCTGTTAGGTGGTATAACAGGTTCTCCAAGGTAACCATGGATCGAGGAGGTATGTTTTTTCCCTATCATTTTCACTATTTTATGTTTGCTTATTTTTATTTCTTTTTTTTTTGTTTTCTGTCATTGAGGCCTAATGTCTTACCATTGGGCCTAGGCATTTTGCCATAGTTCTAAGCTAAAAATATTTTTACTACTGTTAAAGCAATTACTTTAGGGGCAGTCATTGTTGTGATTTCATAACTGAATGTGCTTTTAAAATACATATTCAGTACTGCTATCTTTTATAAATGATAATGGAATTGTTGATGTTTAGTTGCAGTGAAATATTAAAAATCTAAAAAATTTGCGTATAGTGTCTGTATTTTGAGAATAAAAGTATTGTAGTGGTGAATATTGATTAGTACATAGGTGCTTATTAGCATCAATAGAAATAAAGCTTGAAGTAACTACATTCTCATAGATGTTGGTAACTGTTGGAAAGTATGCATTGTTCTTTCTTAACAATTCTAGAGTCATTAAAATGGTTAACTTCTTATGCCTACATCTCCTACAGGGACACATCTGCTATCTTGTTAACTGTTCCAAGATTGCTGTCAACCAAATATACTGTGTGTTTCATATGGCAGCACATTGTTTTGTGGGGTAGCCTCATTGTAGTAAGAGTTGAACCCTGCCTTATCACCAAGAGCATTTCTAGAGTTGCCCTAAGCATTTTCTGCCAGTTAAAATGTTGAAACCCTTTACAAAACTGTCATGTTGTTCATGCTTTGGACCGGTTTAATTAGAAAGTTTCTACAGTTGAGTGCTTCTTTTTAAAAGAACGCATTTTATTTCTCTGTAATGAGAAAGGGAGTTGATGAATAACTCAGCTTGAAGACCTTTAACATTTTAAGAGACTTAATTTGCAAAATTAATGAAGCTTATCGTGAATATTTAACGTTTTATGTCATCTGATACTTTGACTATAAATAACATCTTTGCCAGTTAGTTGTTAAAATTTGGGTTTTAACATTGATTTAGCTGTGAACATAAACAATAACCCCTAAAACAGGTCAGCTTGATTAGATAATGATAAATCATTCTTCGTAACAGTTTCCTGTATACTCTTGTATTAACTACAGCAAAATTTCAGTGATGTAATAATAATTTTTCCTTTTTAAGTAAGGAAGTGAATCACAAAATAACAAATTCTAACTGGAATGTGGGGACTGTGGGTTGTGCAGGACTAATTTCAGTCATAGGGTAACTGAACCTGCAGGTTATAGGATTTTACTAAAATGAGAATGTGTGCTCACATGAGCTAATATAAACATTTTAGATAGAAGTATTTGCGAAAGTTAGGAAGATGCAGTCACTTTTAAACATAAACTTTCAGTGATTTTCTTTAGTTTTAATTAGAGCTTTCAAAAAAACTTAACAGACCAGTAATGCTTCTACTCACTGGTGAGGTTTCCCTTACCTCTGATAGTGCATTTTCTAAAGCAAAGTAATTTAATTAACTGATGGCCAAAAACTTATGAAACTATGTTGGGTTTTCTTCCTGTAATTTACAGATAGTTTCTGTAACATCTTCTAAGAGAGGAATTTCAAGGGCTTATACATAAAACCGAGCTTTCACAGTGTACCTGCTGGAAAAGGTGACATTGTCATCACTGAGGGCTCATAAGCAACTTAACCTAAAAGCAAAGACACATCCTACTATGAATCAAATTAGTAGAAGTGATACAAGTAAACAGTGAGCAGTTTTTTAAAAGGTGGAGATCACTTAGAGCTGATGAGTCAAAGTGTTTCAGATCAGATACAGCTTGTAATTCTGCCTGTGCAGATGCCAGTGTTCCCTGGAGGGGATCCGAGAGGTGCACAGATTCCGTATTCTAAATCTCATGTACCTCATCTTAATCATGATGCCATGTTTAGGTACTGTATCATTCATAAGAGTATGTAAGCCCTTCAGAGGTGGGTTTGCCAAAATTATGCTATGATATGTGAAACTTAAGCCGGTTTGCATAATCTCCTTTCCATTTTTCTCCGTGTAAGGCTGTTGATCATCTAACCTGGCACTTAACATCATAATGTGTCCAGATGGAGGTCCAGTGTCCTGCCAAATGGCTGTGTGACTTTTTTTTGGGCTGCTTGTGCATGCATGCATGATTCAGCATTGAATGACAAGTCCATGTATGCTGTTTTTCTCAGCAGAGCCTATTAATCCAGAGCACGTGGCTGAAGTGCTCTGGGTATGAATCAAGGCTGCGTAGTGGCAGTATTTTGGTCCTCAAGGTCCACCTTGGACCTGCTTTCGTATTCCCATTTTCCAACCTCTGTTTTTGAGTTCCTCATCTGATGGCAGACTTTGCCTTTTCACCAACTCTCTTTTTCCCTCTGTCTCAATGTGCACGTATGTCATTGCACACTGCACACTGTCTAAAGCTTTTTCCAATCAGTTTCTCCTCATGGATGTGGTCTTGTACCCTTTGCATTTGAACTGAATTGTTTCCTTTTGTGCAGCGTTGTGGAATGACAACTGCAGAATTTGTAAGAATTAATATCCCAAAATAAATTTTAAAGCAGTGAATGTTGTAAGCTTTGGTGTTGAACTAGTCCAAGCCTGCAAAGTCTTGGCAAAGTCTTGCCAAATAATTCTGTAGTGAGTTTGATACAGATAGATTTCTTGAGATGCTTGACATTTTAATATTAGCAGCTACAACATATTCATTCCTTCTCTCTTCTCCTCTCATCCATACTCACCCCTTGCTCCCCCATTTTCCAGGATGTTTTCCTTAAATGAGTGGGCCTTGAGAGATGCAAGGAAAGTCAAGTCGTGCTCTGAAATGTGGAAACACTAGTGATTTTGAATTAGGAGTTGTTGACTTAGATTAAAGTTGGCAAACTGTGTAGACATTTTTGATTAAAAACAAAGCTAGGAAAACCCTAGAAAAACCTGAGGCCTTTAGGCTAAAACTTAAAATAAAGAAAATATTTTATTAGGGTGAGATACTGAGTGCAAGAGCCATGTCTCTTTGATTATAGAATCTGTTTCTTGAGTAATTCCTTCTTTTGCATGTCATCTAGCAATTTGCACACCTTCCCTAATTAAGAGGATTATGTTGGGTGTACCACATCACATTATGACTTTTTTTTCTAATGACAACAGTAGAGGTTCTCAGATAAAATAAATGCTGCTTTTCATTGGTAGCGAGTTGCTTTCAGCTCTTCAAGCTCTTATTGTAGAATTAGATTTTAGCGTCAAAAGTTGAGTCTTACTTCTTATTAATAAAAACGTATGTTTCAAAGCACCAGGTAAAATAAATAGTGCCAAACTAAACATGTGACTCCAAACAGAAGAGGAGATATATTGATTTCAGATAAATTTTGCATCAGAACCATGTTAAAAAAAATGTTAAATACATGTTAGTGTTTGTTAAGTTAACTTGATCTGAGCTTAAGTAGTGGAGGTGGTTCTGTTCCAATATGAAATCTTTTGCTTTTTGTGTTTCATTAAGGGCTACAAAACTAAGCCTGGAACTAACAATCAGGAAGAATTGCTGGGCTCTTTTTAGCTAACTGTCTTCTGATGTCTTTCAGTATATCGTACTGTACTATGAATAAGTCTGGGTATTTTTTTTGCTGTGGACTTCAGTACTGCTTTCATATTTTTCAGCACCTTTTGAATGAACAATCACACAGTTTAGGTTAAAGGAAAGTCACCTCTTTAAGAGAGACTTGAAAGTCATTAATCAGTCTTTTGAAAGTTTTACAGGTGTTCTTATAACCTTTCTGTATTCATTTTTTCCCACAGCCTGGTTTTGTGGTATCATCTCTATCACCGTCATTAGCCTGCTTTCCTTGCTAGGGGTGATCCTGGTTCCCATCATTAACCAATGGTGCTTCAAATTTCTTCTAACTTTCTTGGTAGCTCTGGCAGTAGGAACAATGAGTGGAGATGCACTGCTCCATCTATTGCCACATGTAAGTATTGTTTCCTTACCTTTTATTCTTAATTGTAAATGAGTCTAGAATTTTCAAGGAATTGTTTGATAGTGTCAATACGTAAATGTTCACTGATACAGATGTAAAATGACTTGGCTATGAGGGGCATCCTGAAACACCGTTAGAGACTTTCTGTTAACAAAAAGAAAGAAAATATGGTTTTCCTTAAAAAAAAAGTAGTTTTGTATTCCTGGTTGAAATGTTGTCACTATTTTAAACTGCTGTTACTATTTTAAAAGACACCTCATGGGCCCAACGAGATTATTTTAAAGTTAACAGTATTGCTGTCTTGTGTCTACTGACAGTTGATTGTGTGTCAGTACCACCTAAAAGTATTTCCTGGGGATTCACCTTCATGGTTACTAGCTTTTGGGGAGAAAGTAACCTCTAACTTACTGAATCAAGACATTGCCCAGGTTCTGGGGAAAGTAAGCACTTTTTAATTCATGATCATATACTGTAGTTTTTAAACGGGGAAATGTTTTCTAAACTTTTGTTACCTTAATTCTTTTAACAGAAAGGTTAGTGTTTACATGTTTTCTCTGTATAAATTCTAATACACGTTTTTTGTCTTTTTTTTTTTTTTTTAAGTTTGTGTTTCAGATCAGAATTAAGTCTCTAATGGCCTATAATGGTTAAAAATATTCATAAGGTTTGGTTACTGTTGGAAGCATAGGAATGGTAATTCTGTGTGATATTTCAGAGAGTTAGTCTCATTTATCATCAGCATTGTGAGAAAACCTAAAGCTGGATTATCTCCCACTGTCCCAAAAAATTTCCCAGATGGATTTTTTTTTTTTTTAATGATTAGGGTAATGAATAGTCTAATGAAAAATTTATATGGCAAAGTGTGTTAGTGTGGGGGGAAAAAAAAGAGGGGGGATTTTATGCTACTTTTCTGAAAGGTGACATATTTTTTTAGTCTGAACTCAGAGCCATTTCAGTCTCCTGATTGCACCAGGTCGTACTGTGTTATTTTTTTCTCTCCTAATAGTCACATGGAGGCCACAACCACAGTCACCACCATGGCCAAGGTCACGTTCATGAACACAAGCGTTCCCATCGACATGCCCACGGACATGCAGTGCGGACTGAAGGCTTCCTAGAAGAAAATGATCCAGTGCTGAAAGGTCTTGTGGCACTTGGAGGCATTTATGTTTTGTTCATCATTGAACATTGTATAAGAATGTACAAACATTACAATAAACAAAAGGTACGTACTGAAATTGCGTGCTGTTTAAAAGCATAGTACCTGAGGTTATTTTCTGAGAATCGAGGAGTTGTCTGTGTGATGATTTGTTATTCTGTGAACAAGTGCTGCTAATCTTTATTCTGTCCCATGTTATGTGAGAAAACTCTACTCTGTAGAGTGTAGATATCTGGTGGGCGAAGTTGCAGCTTTCTGAGGTAGGAGGTAGATCTAAGTAAAAGAGATTACAGCTCTCCCTCGAAAATGCTGTGATTTTATTTTTTTTTCCCCCCAAAATATGAAAAGCAGTGTCTAAGAAAGAACATAGCAATTGTTGGACAATTTACAAGAAATGTAGCAGTATATTGTTAGCTAGCAATGCTGGTGTAACAGAAGTATTCAATTTTTCTACTTCAGAAAATGCTAAAATTTTCAGACTTCCTGCTTTCTATAAATTACCAGTCAAATTTTAACTTGTTTTTCTAAAAATTGTTGGACTATTAGTGCTAGAAGCATTCCATATTCGTGATGGTGGTATAAAAGGAGAGCAGGTACCTTGGGGAGCATGAGTGTGCATGGAAATTCAATGTCAACTTTTGCCTTCATCAGTCGACTTCGAGGAGAAAATTGTTTTGGTGAAACTGAAACTATAACTGCTTCTCCCAAAAGGACTGTGAAAAATTTTCAAGTTCTCTGTTTTCACATCAGACTTGCTGTCTTAGCTGGACAGGCAGCAAGAGATTTTCTGTGTTGGAGGAGGTATTTCTTACATCTGATAAAGGGATAAAAAGTGTCCCATTGGACATATCTTCTTTGAGATTAATTAAATAATTAAATCCCCTAGGCTGCTTTGGCAAATCCATAAGCTTTGTTGTATGGGCTGCAGATAGAGAAAAGCTTGCTATTTTCTTAAAGGAAAATAAAAGCAAGTTCCAGAAGTATAAAAAAATTAAAATTGAACAAATTAGAGGAGCTGTTCTTGCTGCATGCTTGCTTTCTTGAACAAAATCAGCAAGTATAATAGCTGCACACGTGTTTCTAGGCTGTGAGAGCAATCCTTGTCAGAGTATACTCTCTTACTAAAGTCAAATATCATCTGTGTGTGTTTGTGAAATTCTGTGGTAGGTAGCTAATAATTTCCACTGGGATAGCTACTGTTGCTGAGCCTTACCTATTAAGCCTATGCTTAATTCAATATTCTGAAGTAACATACTTCTGTTAAACATGTTAAGAGAGAGTAACTTGGTCTCTTTAGAGATTTTTTGACAACGTTTCACTTCTTCTTATCTCCATCAGTGTCATTTTACAAACCAGATGTTACCTGTTTTTTGTTGCAGAGTAAGCAGAAATGGTGCAAAAAAAACCAGGCCGAAGAATCACCAATTGGAAGGAAACTTTCTGATCACAAATTAAATAATAGACCAGATGCTGACTGGCTTCAGCTGAAACCCCTTGCAGGTTGGCATTTCTTTTCAGAATTTTCTCTGATTATGAGATTCAAAGTAGCAACATGTTACTTTGGTATGGTATTTAGCATGTAACATCTTGTACGGGTTTGCTGCTATTATGCAAATCATTGTTAATAAGACTTAATAGGCTTTCCCTATTAAATCTTTTTTTATTTTGTTTTCCTTAGATCTGAGAGCACTCTGAACACTTCCTAATATGCCATAAAGATGGTTCTCAGACTTCTGAAGCAGTCAGGTTTTGGGTGGCTGTGGTTCTTCGGGAGTTTTTTTATTTATTTGTTTTCAGGGTGTTTTTTGGTTCAGCTGTGCCTGAATAGCTCAGCCCGGGCAAAAATTAGATCAAAAATGAACACCCACACAACCTGAATGCAGATATCTGTTTCACTTTGAAGATTCCAGCAGCTGAACCAATTATCACTTGGCTGAGGAAGCTAAACAAAATCTGTTTCTTTTCATAAATACAACTGAGTATCCTGAATATTCCTCAAGTATCCAAAACAACTTTCGCATACTGTTCCTTGTGAATGCTCAGGCAGTGTGAACCCAAAAGGAACTGTGTATCCCCCTAGGGGTGAGAGAAGGGCGAGGGCTTTGCTTCATAACCTTCCCATTCTGTTGCCTGCATGGCTGCTGCATTAATTTGCTGATGAAGAGTCCATAGGCTGTATTTATACAAATTCAGTTTTGTTAATTTGATTGGTTTGTAGAAGGGAGAATTAGGACTGCAGCCTTCTCCAGTCAATGGGATATGGGACATTGACGTAGAACATAGAAAGAATTTAAACTGTATGGATGATGGTAAATATATTTGAAATGTCCTCATTTCCTTTTAATGGGCAATCAGAGGAATTTTGCTTCTGAAAACGTGGAGCATGTACTGGTTTTGTAACACACTTACTCTGAAAGTGTGCTCTGCTGCTCAGTATATCATTCGTACTGCAGGCACTGGAAGCCCATGCTGAATTTGAATTTTGAACTGCAGTGCCACTACCACTGACCTGAATGGCCATTCCATTTCTTTTTAAACCACCTCCACATGATGATTAAGACACTGCTTATCTAGAACTCTTTGCTGCTTAGGTACTCTGTGCCAGTTTTTTTAATTCCACTTATGATTTGCTTATTTTTAACTCTGAAATATTTTTTTTTAATTATTGTGAGCTAATTATCCAGAACTGCCTTTTTTTTTTTTTTTCCCCCCTCAGAACTGCTTTTCTTTCCTGGAGTGTAGATTTCCCTCTTCATTTATTTATTAATATTTTGGAAATATTAGTAAACTTAAAATTCATTGCATAAACCTTCTGCATTGTTTTCACTTTGTATTACTTTGTAAAAATGGCTTTGATTGCTAGCAGGGTAATGAGCTACTCTGAAGAAGCTCGCTGTGTGAGCACACAAGTGTGACACAAGGATTCATGCAATACAGCAGATCTGTAACTAGTGTCTGTGTCGGTGGCAGGTCATGCTATACTGCAGTGAAGGCTGAGCTGTGACCTGTAGGGGCATGTGTAGGCAGTAGCCAGTTAAGGTTTCCTGAGCCATTCAGATTCCATCTGCAGCAGATAAGACATTATTATCATCCTGGCAACTCTCTTTTGCCAGTGTTGAACCATAAACTTTGTCAGTAGCAAAACTGCAGATACAAGCCTAGGCTGGGATAAAACTGGCTTTAAGTGCTATGGACTCAGTGATGTTGCCTTGTAGTGGAGACTTTCATATGCTGACATGCAAATTAGTGAAAAAATGTATCAATGAGAGATTTATTTTTTTGACTGAATACTGACAACGAAGTTACTAGACTAGGATGTGTTAAAATACTTTTTTTGCTTTCACAGAGCAGTTAATTCTTAGTTCAGTGATGCAGCAGTTGCTGGTGACATGTTAAATACGAATTAACACAGTGTCTCTCCCAACTGGCTTCAATGCAGGAGCAGATGACTCAGTTTTATCTGAAGATCGACTGAATGAAACTGAACTAACTGATCTGGATGGCCAGCTGGAATCCCCTCCCAAAAACTTCTTGTCTGTGGAAGAGGACAACAACATGCGCCATTCTCACAACGACGTCTCACATGCTGCTCAAGAGCATGATCTTCATGACTCAGAGTATGACAGCCATGGAGAAGATAAAATGATAGCTAGAAAACACAGTCACCACTGGCATCACAAACATTCCCATCATTCCCATGGCCACTGTCATTCTGGAAAAGACCTGAAAGATACTGGGATAGCTAATATTGCTTGGATGGTAATTATGGGAGATGGCATTCACAACTTTAGTGATGGCTTAGCAATCGGTAAGCAAAAGCACTGAGTATTTCTCAACAGTTTCTCCTTACCTTTAGTAACTCTGGTAATATTTTACTTATCAGTGATCATAGGTAAGGCTTCCAGTTAGCAGCCATGGTTACTGGCATTGCTTAATCTCCTTCAGGGCAGAAAGTAAAAGGATGTCAATTGTAGTAGTTACTACTTTGTTAATATTTTGTTCTGTTTCTGCCGAAATTACTGTATTGGCACAGTGACAATCTCTGCCAAGTAAAGATAGGTGCACACCAACCTCTTTGTGATTTATGGAGCACAGTAATGCACATTTGTTGTTTGGATCTTAGTATTTGCCTTTGAATTATAAGTAAATTCAGTCTTATTTACAATTATATTTATTTATAATAATAATAATACTATTTCTATTATTGTTAATACATAGAATTATACAGTACTTGTAAGTAAAAATACACTATGAGACAGGTTACAGAAATAATTTTTTAAAAGTACTGCTAATGATAATTTAATTTTTATTTAAGCAAAGTTTGGTTTTGGCTTATGGTCAGTATAGATTTATTTCTAGCCAAGTGCAGAACACATTGAATTACCAAACAGATTTTTATTAGATTTATGAAATCAACTTTGATTCACATAATGCTCTAAATGTGATTTGAACCATAAAATGCATTTAATTTCAGTATATGTCATACAAGTCAAAATGACAGTGAGAGTACTGAAGTGCATACTTTTAATTTTTTACTTAAGTAGCTGCTAAGAATACACAGGGTTCTGAACTACTAGTAGGAGGAACACACATTTTGAAGGATGGGGGATAAGCTACTTATTACGGTCTGTAGTTAACAGTGGAATCTACTACTATTTCTCCACTTTCTCAAAACAATTTCTAAAAAAACTAAATTCTTTAAAAAATAACTTTTTGCTTCATTTTCATATTAAACAGGTAAGACATTTAGACAATGGTTTCTAAGGCCAAAAGGATTACTATGACTACTGTTGAGAACTTCACTGTGTTGAAACTCCATTTCTAAATATTCCTGTGTCAAGTCCAAACAACTGATTCTTTGGTAAAATGTAGATTTTAGAAAAGCATGTTCATATTTTTAGTGTATCAAGTTATGAGTAATCCAGAGGAAAGTTAAATTTCCCCTCTGTCTTCAGATTGTGTCTTCTCTTTCTATTTTATGTTGCCTGTTTTGTCTGCTCACTGCAGGCTCTTTTTGTGCTTTTCTCTGCTACAGTACAGAAATTTAGTACCAGTTTTCTCATCTCAGAATTATTTAAGGTATGAACTTAAAGTTAATTGAATTAAATTAGCTTATGCAAAAGTTACTGAAAGACATTTATGGCAGTGTTTTTATCCTTATTACTTTCCAGGTCTGGCTTATTAAAATTGCTGATATGTGCTCTATGTATAAGCAGAAAGGAACTAGAGAGGTTATGGGTTAAATATTAGTTTGGATTTCCAAGCTGGAAAGGAGAGGTTTAGACTCTTGCTCATGTGCATTCCTAACTGTCCTCATGTACTTGAGAGTTCCTAAAAATGTAAAAGTGGTGCTATTTATTAGCTTGTTGCCTTAATGTGTCCGTTTTGGTCAGTTGTGATCTCCTCTCCCAGGATTTGTCTTTCAGATACACTGAATAATAAAGCATGCAGTGGTAATGCACATCCAAGATACTTCCAGTACTTCCCATTTATATATGGACAGGGCCTAGACATACTGAAAAATATTAGAGTATGCATCCTAACAGAAGGTCGTCATCTCTGGAAAGTCTGTTGATTTTCTGACTTGAAAATAGTGAAATATCATTTTAATTTATTTTTCTTCTTTTTTCTAGGAGCAGCTTTTAGTGCTGGACTGACAGGAGGAATTAGTACATCTATAGCAGTATTTTGTCATGAACTTCCCCATGAATTAGGTAACTAAGTCTAGAAACTCTGTGTTCAGTCTCTTCATCTGTACAAAGTATTTGTCTAAGAGCTGTTGTGATACTCACAGTGATAAGCACAATGCAGTGCAGACGCCGCAGGGGTGACCAGAACTTCAGAGTGGAAGGGAGCAATGTTGCTTCACAGTAAATAATGATACAGGATTGTATTGGCAGGTGTCTACTTACAGCAGCTCTGTGAAGCTTTTTGAACACGTTTTAAAAAATGTTCTTAGGAGCACACATTTGACATTTTGGTGTTATACCTCTGCATTTTCTAGAGAATTTCACACTACTCTGTGAGGCCTTGTCTTACACAAAGTTATATGAGTAAACACAAGCTTACCTATTATGAAATTGTGCTAGATTGAACTGTGCATATGCTTACAGCTTGCTTACTTGATGAACTGCTAGCTCTGAATGGTCAAAAGTGAGGTAAAACAAGTACTTCAAAAACCCTTAGAGGTGATTAGGCAGCTACTGAGCTATAGGTAAGCAGTGGACACAGATGGGAAATAATAGAACAGATGTTCATGGTCTGACACCAGTGGTGTACAATCATTAGTTAAGTGAAGCTGCTGCAGTATATAAAGGATTGCAATATATAGTAGTGTGCTTATAACTTGATAGCATAATGTGATTAAACTAATCCTGTGTAAAAGGTGAGTAGTTCACTGTACATATTTTTTATTTTTTTTTATTTTGATATGTTTTGATTCTAGACTAAGCAATTTATTTCTAGCATATGTGATATGAGAATATTTTTTTAGTTATCCTCATGACTGTATATCATCTTACACTTCTGATATTCACAAGAATTCAGTATGAGGGGAGTAAAATGATTAAACCTGATTACAAGAAAGAAATCTAGATTTCTGTAGAATATCTACCTCTGTCACCAATTTTAGCAGAGCTGTCCTGAATTCAAAATAAAAGAAGTTAACCTGGCACATCTTAAACCAGAAAAGTGATTCAGCATGATGTAAAGTCATTCTTTCTGAATGACTTCATCTGAATGACTACATCTCTTCCTTTCTCTATGCTCAAATTCAAATTCATTGTTACCTTTTGTGGGGACTAATGCCTTGTTATCCTCTTCCTGAATTTACAGGATGAGGTGTATATAGCTAAGAGGAATTTTCACAGGTATTGATAAAAACTAAGCCTCTGGTTTTATGTGCCATGAAGAACTTCTGTGAAGTAAACGATTTGCACACAGTACTGGAAGGGATACTAAGCAGGTTTGCAGATGACACAACAGTGGGAGGAGCTGTTGACTCCCTTGAAGGCAGGGAGGCCCTGCGGGGAGACCTCGACAAATTAGAAGACTGGGCAATCACCAACCATAGGAAGTTCAACAAGTGAAAGTGCAGGATTCTGCACCTGGAATGTGGCAACACTGGATGTGTGTACAGACTGGGGAATGAGATTCTGGAAAGCAGTACCAGGAAAGGGACCTGGTGGTCCCGGTCCACAGTAAGCTGATTATGAGTCAGCAGTGCTCTGGCAGCCAGGAGGGCCAGTTGTGTCCTGGGGGGGCATCAGACAAAGCATCACCAGCCAGGCAAGGGAGGGGGTTGTCTTGTCCTGCTCTGCTCTGCACTGGGGCAGCCTCACCTTGAATATTGTGGCAGTTTTGGTTACCACAATACAAAAAAATATCCAGCTATTAGAGAGTGTCCGAAGGAGGGCAACAAAGATGCTGAAGGGCCTTGAGGGGAAGCTGTATGAGGAGTGTCTGAGGTCACTTAGTCTGTTCAGCCTGGAGAAGAGGAGACTGAGGGGAGACATCATTACAGTTTACCACTTCCTCATGAGGGGAAGAGGAGGGGCAGGCACTGATCTCTTCTCTGTGGTGACCAGTGACAAGACCCCAGGGAATGGCCTGAGGTTGTGTCAGGGGAGGTTTAGGTTTGATATTAGAAAAAGGTTCTTCCCCCAGAGGGCAGTTGGGCACTGGAACAGGCTCCCCAGGGCAGTGGTCACAGCACCAAGCCTGACAGAGTTCAAGAAGCATTTGGGTGATACTCTCAGGCACATGGTGAGTCTTAGGGATGGTCTTGTGCAGGACCAGAACTTGCACTCAATGACCCTTGTGGGTCCTTCCAGCTTGGCTTATTCTGTGATTCTGTGTATTCTCTGTGGGAGGACCAGATCTAGACTCCTCCATTCACCCTTCATGATTAGTTACTATTACCTTTCTGACAATCAGCATGATGAATAGGCACCTTTAAATCATATTTTAATCAAGGGATTGCTGCACATAAATACAGTTCTTACAAGAGTTGTCATTTTCTGTTGCTCAGCCTGACTTTGACCATCTGTAGCAGCATTTTTACTTTGGCAGTTCCTTGGATTGGTGAGGTAGTAAGTGTAAGCTAATTTGTTTACTTGCTTCTCCTGAGAAGAGTTTTACACCCCCTGATGCTAAAACCCCTGTGTTCTGTCCCTGTTGCAGGTGACTTTGCTGTGCTCCTCAAAGCGGGTATGACAGTAAAGCAGGCCATTGTGTACAACCTGCTGTCAGCCATGATGGCGTACATCGGGATGCTGATCGGCACGGCCGTGGGGCAGTACGCCAACAACATCACCCTCTGGATCTTCGCCGTCACCGCTGGCATGTTCCTCTATGTGGCCTTGGTGGACATGGTAAGGTTGGGATGGTGCTGTGCCATTTTTGCACTCCGTGCATAAAACATAGGACTGCTGTGGCTGGGCCACTGTGTGCTGGAGTTCAGCCTAGTGTTCAGGGTTGTTCTTCGCTAAAATTTAATCTTGGTGTATTCTGGGAAGTTCAGTACGAAACTTTAGCATGAGCAGCTGGTAATATATAGTTCTTGTGGTGATTAGCTTTTAAAGAAATTTATCTTGTGGGAAAATGCTACTGCTTCAGGAACTTATAGGTATGTTACCTTTGGTGTGTGCACACCATAGGTCCAGATCCTTCGGGCAGTAACAGTGTTGTGCACATTATCAATCCATATTTAGACCTAATTTCTCTCCTAAGCAGCTTCAGAGCTTCATTTAAATAAGCCAGTTTCCTCACTTCTTGTCTTTCCTAAGCCTAATGATGATGAAATCATTTTCCACTTTTGGAGTATTTTCTAATACTCTTCAGTTCATTATTGAGACTTTGATTTGTAAATATACTCTAGTTACTAGAGTAACTCAGTTAGTGAATAAGTTCTTTTCAGGGCTTGCTAAATTGTTTAATAAAATGTCTACAGAGAGTGATCCTTCTTGCAACTTGCAACTACAGTTTAACCTGTAATTACCAGAATATCACTTGCATATAAGTCCTGTGGCTGATATTTATTTCCTGTGCTTCCTTTGAGTGAAGATATCATGTATAAGGGAAGGGAGTATTTTCATTCTTTTATTCCTTTTTCTTTTCCTCAGTCATCATAGTAGCAACCAAATAGTCAAATCCCAATGGTCTGACTAAACAAGAGCAGCAAAGCTTCTGCAAGACACACTTGAAACTGCTCCAGATTCTTGTCTTGGTGTTTCCATAATCTGCTTCCTCTTAAAGACTTTGTTGCCTGACACACAAGAAGAATAGATTTTGATTCCTCCAATGCTGTCAAAGTAAATACCCAGCGGTTTTAAACCCCCTTGTAGTAATGCTAAGGTGAAGCCTTTTTTTTAATCCAGAGCACCAGATTTTAAAAAAATATCTGTGACTTCTCTGAACAATTTCTTTTTCATGCCTGCCAAGCTGCTCTCAGAAGTTCTGTTCATACCTCCCATAGCTACTGCAGCATTGCAGGGACAGCAGAGCTGAAGCAGCACTGTGTCCAGCAGTTGGGCAGTGCCTCTTCACCAGGTAAATGTGAATATGCAGGAGGTTCCTACAGTGCTAATGTATGTGTGGGCTACATCTCAAAGATGGAAGGAGGGTTTTATTGCCAGTAAGAAGTTCTTGCAGTGCACAGCGTCCTTCCTCCCTCCCTCTCAGAGTCTTTCCAGGACCCTTTCTACTGTAAAAATAAATAAGTATTTTGAGGACAGCAGCGATGGGGAGTGTGCCCATAGTACTGGTTACTGTTAAATAATCTTTTTCTTTTTATTGTAAAGGACAGGGGTCTTCTACTTGCTGTTCAGTGCCACAGTTTGGGGAATACATGAGCACTGCCACTACCTGTAACTAAGACTTCCACTTCTACTCATCCTTTTCTCCCTTTTCATGCCCATGACTGGAAATGGAGACAGAGCACTGTGCCCTTCCTAGGTTTTGAGACAGTTACCAGAGTATTCTTTCATTATTCTTAAGAGCATCCGTAGATTCAGAGCAGCAATATTCTGTTTCTGTAGAAGTTACAGCTTCTACAAAAACAGGTCTTCCATTCAAAAAACATGAAGGTGAGAATTGGCAGCAGCAATTCCAGCACAATTCTCTGATTAGATTTTGTGTTACTTGGTGAAAACAACTCTGGTTTATTAAAAATAAGATAATTCTGCAACAAATCTTGCCTGCCAGCATGACAACTGTATAGTAATCTCTAGTAGTGTAAACTCAGTCATTACTGCATTTATTTTGGTGGCTTAACAGTACTTTGTAATTTGGTATAGTGCTTGCTGTTAAGCTGCCTGGCCCATTGTATATTTATTGGCATGTTATTGTCGATTGATATGTATATGTAATGTGTCATTTTTCACATCAGTTTGGGTTCTTTTGTATATATTTAAATACTCAGTGAGTCAAATTAATTGTCAGGTTATGTGTCTTTTAGAAATACAGTCATACAAGACCAGAAGGGTGTAACATATTTGGGGTTTTAGCAGCTTCGATATCATTGTCTCTGCAGAATTCAGGTACTCAGAATAACAAAAACTACTCTAGCCTATCTAATGAAGAGCAGTAAATAGACTTGTGCTGTGTACTACCTGAAGTTTACGTTTTCTTCTGCAGTATCTTTTTTCCATACTAAGTGTGTCTTGAAGGAATTCCTTTGTTTTTACCTCCTGCTTTCATGAATTAATTTCTTTGTAAACATGCTATTTCTCTTCTGTGTGTGTTGTAAAACACTTTGTAAGATTTATTTTTACATCTTCCAAGTCCACTATTATTTGTTGCTTTTGTCAGTACTCTTTGACTTCTCTTCATAGATGAGGAACAAAAGGACTAGCCAGAACTTTCATAATTTCTTATAGTTTCACATAGAATTTCTCTTTAATTGCCTGGAGCTATTATTCCCGTATTTTAAAGGGATGTGTATGTGACTATGTGTAAGCATCTAACATGACAAATGAATGGCTAAGTTAATCAGCAAAGTCATTATAAAGGGTATATTTATAGCAATGTAATTACTGTAGAAATAGGCAAAGCTTTTTATTACGTTTACTTGAGCATGACAATTTTAATTGAGTAGAACTACTCAAGAGAGCAGAACTGCTGGGCTGGTCCTTATCTTGAGGAACTTAATGTTCAATTAGATGTGTGATCCAGTAAAAGCTTAAGAAAAAAAAAGTCCAAAGGAAAAGTGGTTTATGATATGATCATGTTTAGGTAGAGTTTAAGCTATGTCTTAGTGTGTTGTTTTGTAACTGAACCCTGGAGTATTTAGTCTTGACAATATCATCTTGTAAATTTGTCCACGTATAAATGGAATAGAGGTGAAAAAACTTTCTAAATTGTTTTTTTCCTTTTAGCTTCCAGAAATGCTTCATGGAGATGGAGATAATGAAGAGCATGGCTACTGTCCTGTGGGGCAGTTTGTTCTTCAGAATCTAGGCCTGCTTCTTGGATTTGCCATCATGCTGGTGATTGCCCTCTACGAAGACAAAATTGTGCTTGACATCCAGTTTTGACCTAATTCTGGTAATCACTGTGGTTACAATAATGTTGCTGTATGGCTTTGAGTCTGCACTGTTTCACTGTATGCACGTTGCTCGGAGGAAACGCGGTGGCTTGCACTACTTACACAAGTACAGGACATTCATTTCTGCCTAGATTAACTAATGCTTTTTTCTAATTCAGATCAGATCAGGTCACCCAATGCAACTTCTACACTCAAGTGATCAACACTTAGGAAACACAAAATATGAGAAATAAAGGCCATTTTCAGTGTACTATATAGGGAGCACTGCTTGCTTAAGAAAGAAAAAGTACAGTGAATGATCTTATTTGGGAAAATACCATTTCATTGGTACACTTGGACAGAACCAAGAAGATGTTACAGTTAAAACAAAAACCTCTGCAAGGAACCCGAGCAAGCTTTTAGTGCCATATAAGTCCTGAGTAGTGCATATATGTATCTATATATGTATAGATCTATGTAGATATATACAGATATGCATACATATATATGTGTGTGTGCGTGTATGTATATATATATTAATTCTGCGCTGATTTTTCTGCATAGTGGTGACTTGAAATATTAAATCTTGCAGCAGGACATGACTGGAAACCACTATGCCAGTTTAAAGTTTTAAAAAGAAACCCAAAGCCTAAACACTGTTTAAATTCTTACAAGACATGTTAAGTTCACTCCATCATTTCAGTCCTCCTGTGTAAGAAGGCAGGCTGTTGCCATGTACTCTGCAAAGTGTGACTTCTGTCAAGGGTCAGTTTGATGATGTTTTTCCCAGCTAAGATTTATTTGATGTTTGTTCCTTGATATTAGTAGGAAAATGCAAAATGCAGTAGAATTAGTGTTAGCTTGGGGAAATCCCTGACGTTGGAGTTATTGAGCTATTTCTGGTTTTTTCTTACAGACGCTAAACATGTATTGTGTGCCACTTGCAGCATAAACTACTGAAGAATTGTGGCTGTGAATTTGTGCAAACTCTTTTAACAAAGAATCCATACGGGAATTTCTCCATTTTTTTAAAAACAATTATTTTGAACTGTTTTCTTCTCTTCATGTTAAAACAATCCAAAGTTCGAGATGCTAGTTACTGAACCTGGGCACAAAGGTTAAATTATGCTCTGTGTATGTTGTAATGGTAGGTTATTTACAATACTGTAATAACGGATCAAATGTGTTTCTACAATGCCTTGTTATCAGACATTGCAACACCAGCCATTTCTGGCAGTAGAGAGTATGTAAGAAGATTTCTACTTCCAGTATAAAGGAGTTCATTTCTAAGATATTTTTTTACAATTTTGGTATTTAAATTAGATTATTAAAAAGCAGATGTGGTAGAACAATGGTATGTGTCATTCGGAAGAATAGACTGAAACTTTGGGCCTTAACTTGCTGGGACCAGCTGTCCTAGATCAGATTGTGCTGATATGCGTATATTGCCAGACATGAGTTAGTTCTTCTTGTACCCATCTCCTTAAAAAAAAAAATTGTGAGTTTGTGAGGAGTGCAAGTTGATTCTGTAGTACCAGTCCTAAGCATGGTAGTAGCTTTTTTTTAAAACATGCAGTTCGTCTATTTTATGTGTATGCCAGGTAAAAGCTGTATTTTGACTATGTGCCGTAAGTTTTGTTTCGGTCTGCTTGGTGCCAGTGTAGCTGCTAAGAACACTGATCCTAACGCCTTTAATGAGAGCCAGTTGGTATCTTCATTCCATTTCAAGTTAATGTGTTTCCTGTGGCCCTTTACTTTTGAAACTTCATTGGTCAGGTCAGCTTTTACTGAGAGCAGCTCATGTATTTTAAAGTAATCGGTCGGTCGCCAGTATTTCTTCCTAATTCAGTATCAGGAAACAGTATTAAGGGTCCATTTCAAAGAAGGGTGCAGTTTCTTCAGTGAAGAAGCCAAAAGCCCAGAGTTCAGGCAGGCAGCCATTTCATGTTCTGAACTCAGGTTTTATTTTTTGCTCTTTAAACATGTTTACTGTTGGACCCTAATTAGCAAACACACTGTTGTTAGCTTCAGATTCCTGAATTTCTGCAGTGTAAAGCTCCTGGGTGACATTTTAGCATAGTGTTCATGTTTGGTCACTGAGTACCATTTTCAAAGAGACTTTAACTCACTGGATACCTTCTGAGGATCTAAGTTTAAACAATCTGTGTTTCTTATGTATTAAACTGACTTAGATTTTCTTTTCTGTTATTTCTGTCAAGTATAAGGGGGTCATTATGCAGCTGAACTGATGTTTTGTCAAATCATTTTTTAAAGCTTATTTCTCTTAATTCTTTTCAAATGAAGATTTCTGTATTTCAGGTAGTATATTTACTTTTTTATTAGTTATAATATGGTTATAGCTTAATACACTGCCTCTGTAGGAAAATAGTTAACTTCCTTCCAAGACCATCTTCAGACAAGGGAAAAACGTGGTCATTGAAGGTAGGTACTGTATTTTTCATGGAATATAGGTTGTTTACTTTTATTTTCTAATATTTATTGCAAATGTAACAGAGCAGTGTAACAGCTGTGACTTCTTCTGTGTGTTTCCGCCAGTATTGAATTCCAAAAGATTCTAGTGTACACTTCTGTTACAGACAATCTGAATTCCACTACATTTCTACTTGGCTTCAACATTCCATTTTGCTTGAATCCAGAGTCTCATTTAACTTGTATTTGTTGGAGGGCATAAATGTTACTTGTATATTACAATGCTGTCACTGTGTGACATCCCATAAGAATTTTGATGTAAATCACATTGCACTCAATCCTCTGTGATTATGCTTAGAAAATGTTGTAGTTGCTAGATGCAGTGTGATTTTTTTTATTATTTTTTTTATTTTTCTTTCCTCTCCCCATTAACAACTGAGTCTATGGTTTAAAATGTGATTATGGTCCAATAAGATAACTTGCTGAGCTATTGGTCTTTTTGTTATAACTAGATCATTTTTTAAGATTTTATAAAGCTGGAAATGATCAAATGCTGTTTTGTTCATTGTCAACAGTGTTGTGTTCATTTTATGTATGTTCCTTATACGTAAGGAGCCTTCAGAAAATAAAAGCTATTCAAGGAGCAGATATTTTTGTTGGCTTTTATAAGGTTTTGTTGTGTACTTCTGTATTTTAGTATTCCATTTCAAATCTCGTGAAAGGCACAAATGCAACATTGTAAAAAAACTCGATTTCTCTTTTGACATGGCATTTCAGGGCTGACATGATCTGGAAAATGCCCCTACCTCCCAAAACTGCAATAGGTTTATAAGTTAAGCTGACATAATAACACCACACCCTGTCTGACCCGGTGTTCTTGTGGTTTGTCTGAAGGGAGAGTCGTGACAACCACAAAGCTGCTGGAATAGCCTGTAGTTGACAGGATCCCTCTTCTCTCACTGGGGTAACTTGGCTGGGTAACTTGGTCACTGTGGAATGCCTACTCTCTTACACAGCTTCAGCCGTGTCTGCAGCAAAGAACAAAGTAGTCCTTTTCATCTTGGACAGCCTTGGATTGGCCAAAGTATTTTTACATTGTTGGCAGGGTTTTTTATTTGCTTTTTAACAGATAGCTCTGAAAACTTCTTTCTTGTTTCCTCTTTCTTAGCAGATTGCTTCCGCTCCCAAGATACACAACACCAAACATCCCATTATTATTATTATTAGCAGAGGATTCTCAGCTCCTCTCAAACACTAATTTCTATTTCAACAACTTGTTTAGCACACTTACAGAGCCAATCCCAGTCATCAGTGATGCTGCCACCATAATTGCATTCTCCAGTCATATAGTGAAGAAACATCAGCTGGCACCTCTTAAAAAAAAGCCGGTGATCTGAGCAGCAGCTGAGCAATTCTCTGGGCAGCATATCCCTATCACTGTGTAATTTACTTGGAAGTCAACCAGAATTCTCACTGGAAAGTTTAAAAGCTGTTAATTCATGCTTGAACCATTTGGTCTGCAGATCTTCAAATAATCATCCATCAAGTCATCCAGCATTGCTGCTTTTGAAGAATAATAGCACCAAAAATTTCCATAGTAATGCAGCTAGAATTCCCCTGAGTACAAGTTTATGGAAAAATCTTCCAAAATTTTCTCTCCTTGTTTGGCATATTCCTAAAATAAATGTATGCTGTCACAGGGCCATGGCTATGCTCATAATTTTTTTATTTTTTTTTTAGAAAATAAAGTCAAACATGCCTAAAGTCTTGAGGTTGGGAGAAACTGGACTCCTCTTAGGTGCATAAAAGGAACAAATTATGACTGATAACAGATAAATTATTTACAGAAAATCAAGGCAAGAGTGGGTGATACACTGAGAACTGGGATGAGGAAAACCGGTCAAAAAAGGTACCAAGGAATGTTTACTACATACAAGTTATTATCTTTAAGGGAAGGAAAAAAAAAAAAGCCTCCCTCACTGGTAGGAAGTATATTTGTTCTTAAGCTCTGGTTGTAGGACATTTCCCTAAGAACCCTCCCCCTTCCCACCCTCTCCTTCAGGAAGGAAACACGCAATTCCATGAAGCTGCTTCAATCACTTGCCCATTATTGCTTGAATTTGCCTATTAACCACATTGATAAGCAAAAAAGCTCCAGGCTGACAGTTGTTTGAAAATAACACACACACCCCCGCCCCCTTCCTGCCCCATCCATAACTTTAACAGATTTTGGCTCTAGTGGCTGCTTAGGAAGCTGAAGTGTGAAGAAGTGCCATGTATTGCTAGCAGATTCCAGAGGGGCTTCTATGAAATACACCTAACTCTGCAAACAGGGAAGGAAATGCCTTCTGCCAAACTTATACAAATAGGTCGAGGTTCTCTTTAATCTGAAATAGTGGATCTGGTATTCTCCCTGTCATTGAATAAATCACAGAGAGCTATTAAGTGTCTTAGTGTGATGTTTTACACTTCACAGTAACATCGCCAAGAACGGAATCCACAGTTCCTGCCTGGAGACATGTTACAATTCCAATGAATAAGGCAGCTGTGGGAAACAAATGCTGCTCTGTTTTGCATGGCAGAACTTCTGAATTGTAATTTGAAATTTTCCCAGATCTGTAATGTACCAATCATAGTACTCTAACCAGAAAATTAATGTGGTGAGCACTATGGCAAGTAGACCTTGGCTTCCAGTTCACTGTCCCCACTAAGCTGTGGCTGTGGCAACAACCCAGCCTGCATTGGTACATTCACACATAGTCCTACAAAATGCAAGCAAGGGCTGGTGACCCTTGTGAGGAGTTGCTGTACCTTGTACTGGTCAAGGAAGGTGTGCAGCTGCTGTGCGGGTCAGTCACATTGGAGCTGTATGGAATGTTCCAACACAACAGCCCAAAATTCCACCTTTCTTGCACCAGAGCTTGGAAAAAGCAGAGGCCTCACAGCAATGTCTTGAACGCAACCTTAAAACCAAGTGAAATACTGTTAATAATTCATGGCTGGTTAAACCATTTTTTTTTTCTTGTGTCCTGCACAGTGATGCTGTCTTTGAGTCACTCAAAGCCCAGCATCTCCTGCTCTGGTCACTGACTGACTGTGAGTCAGGGGTAACTTTTTGACACACAAAGGCCTTCAGCATGATCATTAAACTGTCATGAGCACCAGTTCTAAATATTCTCTTAAACCTTCAAAGTGATTTTATTTTTAAAGCTATATATTCATTATATATAATCAGTATACATGACATGCAGCTATGTGTACGAGGCCATGCACCTATGCAATTTTGTTTATACCACTGTATTATAAAACATTGCTCAAACAATATTTATGCCTTTTTTTTTTCTCTTTATCAGGGTAGACTTATGGCCTTTACACAAAAACATTGTGTAGGAACTTTTGGGTTGATATGTTTTTCAATTGAGACAGTTTAGCAAAATATAGATCTCAGTTAGATGATCTACATTAATTATAGAAAAATAATATAAAATCATTTAAAATACGCTTGCAAACAGACATCTAGTTAGTTATAAAAAGAGTGGTGAAGATTTTCCCAGTCTTAATTTCTTTTCTAACTAGAGAGCTGTATTATTGATACCATACCACAAATTTCAATTGAAGAAGTAGGAGATGAGCAATAAAATAAAAATTAAATTTACTGCACTATTGCCAGTTATCAAAACTAGTTGCCTTTTAGTGGAAAGCACCTATTTAATTTGTGAGGGTTTTTTACCCCAGATCGTATATACACAGTCATCAGGGTCTGCTTTAACTGAATCACAGAGTTGTAACATTACTAACAGGCTTTCTGCAGCTGTTGGAAAAGTCAGGATCAGATACTGACTATATGATATTTAATGTATGGTATAGTTTAAAATACAATTTAAATATTTTTTTTTTGTGCCATTCCACTTCACTAAAACCTCTTATCTGTCTTCCATTGAAATACTCCAACTACACATCCATTTAATCTGGAACTATAAGATTCTGACAGTTTAAAAATACTCCTGAAAACAATATGATCTTGCTCTTGAAGGAAGTAGAAAATCTACTATAAAATGCAAGATACCTTTGCAGTTTGGTGGCTGGAGACTTGAAGTATGTCTGTCATTCTCAACAGCAGAGGATGGTAGTTCCTGACAGAATAATAGGAAATGCAAGAAATACATCTTACCCAAACCCAGCAACTTTCTAGTATTCTAGCAGTACTCTCGATACATAAGAACTGATTTGGGTTGTTGGGGATTTTTTTAGTTGTTTTAAATACCATAATAATGACAGTCAAAGTGAAAAAAATCCATACTTCAATTCTGCAATTCTGATGTGTAAATGTCACCCAAGATTCTAAGGTCCTATGTTACTATGATGTTTTCAGTTAAGTATTATATTACAATTAATGCGTATTAGAAAAAAAATAGCATTTTCAGATAAGATTACTTACAATAAACATTTAAACCATTACAGTTTTTTTCTTTTTTGCATTTTATATTTGAGATTACACAAACAAATTAGTTAAATAGATCATGACTTCACAAGATCATAAAATATGCTAAAAATATTTATCCTACCATTTTCTTTAAACAATAGACAAATTATTTATTCCTGAAAAAAGTCCTCTACGTTATTTAGTGCCTTTTGTTAAAGAGAATCAGAAGATCAATTTGGGGAGTTAAAAACTTTGGCATTTCAACTTTTACTTAAATATAAGTTCCCTGCTTCACACAAACATACACATATGTACACATATACACACACAAACATCAGCTATGTTAAAAAAGTCTGGAGATATTAAAATACTTGATCATCAGCAAACTACAGAAGGGCTGTCATGGAGTCAGCACCAGGAGGAAGTGTAAATATCAGTGATTGCACAGCCCAGGCTTTGGATTCTTCTACCATTTGTATCATCTAAAAGAAAAAGGAAAAATAGAATTAAATTGCCCTACTTAGAGTAACACATACTACTCTAAACATCTGAATATCAATTTCAAGGACAGTATCCCTGCATATAAAATTAGATACAAGTACAGTCCCAGAGGAATCAATGATTTAGCATGTGTAAATCTAGGCAAAAAAGATGCTCTAATAGAGCTGAAATTAAAAGTCCTATGCAAATGTTCCTTAATCTCATTTCTGTCACCACATCTGGACAGACTGACATGCTGGGTTATTTTCTGCACTTACTCCATCTGTATTATGGAGAGGATTTAAATTTTTCAAGTCTCATAATGCAACACCTTTCAAAGGTGTTAAGATCTTGGCTTAGAAAGCTGCTGCATACAGCAGACTTGAACACACTGGTATTTAAAATTCCTGCTGAAGCTAAGTGGGCTCTGTACCAAAATAAGAGACAATTTATAAAGTGACAGATTAATACTTTCATCCTGTAAACCCTTACAGATGTAATTCTTCAAAATATTATCACTGATTCTATCTCTGGACATACTCTAAAATATTTTAAAATAGAATAGAATATTTGGAATATTATAAAATAACCACCTCCTCTTTAAAGAAATGCAATAGTATTTGCAAAGAGAATCCTAAGATTTAATATCTGAAAATGAAGTCTAAGAAACACTAAAGGATTCAACGCCTCTGTCACATTCTATGTACTTGGTCACACTATATATTTTTTCCCTGAAAGCACCTGTGATAATTGCAGATTTTATAATTGAAATGTTAAAAACTTCATGTTAAGAATTCTAGTTACAAATACAGCAACTTAGCGTATAAAATTTTAAAATATATTATCCTCTTTGCGACCAGAGGAGGGAAACGATCCAGTAGCTTCATTTCTCTTATTGTCCTGCTCGTAAACTCACCTGTGTTTTTGCTTTCTTTAAAAACTTACCCTGCTTTACAGGTGCAGTGTGTCACCAATTAGTATAATGCCTTAAATTTGAGAGCAGGAGAGAGGCTCTGGGCTCTGTTAACTGTGGGCTTTATAGATGGAGATGCTCTTGAAAGAGCTTAGTTCAGCTTCCAACCTCTTGACTGATTTTAAGGAGATGTATGAGTATGAGAACCGTTTAAAAACCTTCACAAAGTGGCCTTTCCAAGAGAACTGCAAGTGCACCCCGGAGAATGTAAGTCTGAAAAATGGTTGTTTTTCCTGTGGCTTATTTTTTATATACTGTGCCTAAATGTGGAGTCACTGTTAAGTATATTCATGCTCAAGAAGAGCCCATTAAACTTGATGAAGATGAAAAGTTAAATGCTCCAACTTTGCTCTGTTTGCTCCTCAGAAATACTGTAGTAGGATGACTGGCTTTCTGTGTTCAGTCTGTTAGTCTAGCTGCAGAACTTAATATAGTTACTTTTTTTTTTCTTGTCACTGAAAAGTTGATTTCTAGTATTATGTAGTCTTTCCGATTGCAAATTTCTATTCATGGCAAAGCAGCCTACATTAGACTGGAAAAGTACACATCCAGCAGGAAGGGTGAGGTAGCAGAATGATGGCTACTTAAAATTAAAAAATGGAAAACATATAAACTTTAGAAAACTTAATGTTTCTGTCCCTGCAGGCTTTGACTTGAGCATTTAAAAAAAAAAAAAAAAAAAAAAAATCTACCTGACTTCTAAATAGGCACACACGTGAAACCTTCAAGCTGGATCTCAGATGAGTCATACTTCAGGAGTTATCTGAGAAGGTTTGGATAACTGAAATAAACTTAATTTTTAGTGTTCTGATCAGGCATGATTCTGAAGTGACAGGAAAACAGAAGTCCAAGATGTAGCATTTTACTCACATAATTTATATATAAAGGTTCTCTATGTCCAAGCCTTTTTTTTCTCTGAAAATATTCATTAAAGTCCTTACTATGGCAGATATCATGCACTGCTACAGAAATACCTGTATATCGTGGCATGTTACCTGGTACAACAAAGCTATTCCAGTTGCCTGCAGATACCACAGCTATGCAGAAATCTTTTCACTACTTGTAGCCTATTCCTTGTTCCTTTACTAATTGCTTATTTACCTGCTTGCAGTCCTCACACTTAAAATTTCTTTTTCAGCCTGATCTGTGCTGATAGACATTGTGAGGAAAGGTGTTGTTTGCAAGCTCTTCAGAATTAAGTCTGCTCATGTAAACATGAGCATATGTGTGGGATAAGGCTCTAAACTTCTGAACTGTCCCTTGCAGATGGCAAAGGCGGGATTCATCCACTGTGCAAATGTAAATGAACCAGATGTGGCAAAATGTTTCTTTTGCTTGTTAGAACTGGAAGGCTGGGAGCAAAATGATGATCCATGGTAAGCACAGATGCAACAAAGTTCTTGAAGTATTTCCCCAAACTTCTTTGACAACATTCCCTTAGTCATTATAAAGTTACTAATTTCCTCCATGACAGTTCACAAAACTGAAGTTTATCTTACCTAATAACCTTGAAATAGTTCAAGTATCTTTTGTCTGAGATCCATTAGATCTATTTCTTGTGTTTTCTTGTTCTGCTGATAGACAGTAAAAGTACTGAAGAGACCTGTCACTTCAGATCTTCATCTCTTGAAACATAACTTTTATGGGTTCTTATTCTGTTCTTATTCTGGGTTTATTTTGCAGGGAGGAACACGCCAAACGTCACACCTGTGACTTTTTATCTCTTCCTAAGAACTTTGAAGACCTTACAATGGAGGAGTACTACATGCTGGAGATGACACGGCTGAGAACATTCATTGTAAGTGTTAACCAAATAATCTTCTTATAAGATTCAAAGCGAGAATGTAAACAAGAACCTCTATCTCTAAGGTTTCCAGGCATCAGCCAGGAGTGATGGTATAAGGCTAGAACATGACTTATACTGATGTAGTGATTTACATTCGTTATTGGCTAGGAAATCTGCACCCAGACACTTCTCAGTTTAGTCTATTGTCTGGCTTTTGAATGCAAACCTGTTTCCTTTAGAGAAAACCAGCAACTTATTACAGCAGAAAAAAATATATTGGGTACAATAACCAATCCAGGAAGCTCAACAATGAGCAGCTCTGTCATCTTCAGGAGGGATGAACAACAAATGTGAAAAGACAAAATTTGACCAGATCATTGCTTCACATGTCCAGTTTTACATATAAATCAGCCTAATTTATCTTTCAAACTTTAAAGCCCATCTCAAATGTTTTACAGTTCACCAGTTTTACTCCTTCTTGATCCCGGGGTTTCATGCCACAGTGCTGGCATGTAAAAAAGCACACAAAACTGAGCTGCTCTGTTAATCAAGATCAGCTGATCTTTGATATATGAGCCCTACTCCCATGGATACTAAGAATCAAGTGACCCAAGCTCCCTGATAAGGTGCAGTAAAGGTTCTGCATCTTACTTCTTGGTGGGTTTGCACAAATAAGGTCTTTGCTTTGCTAATAATATTCTGTATTAAATACATACCTGGCGAACATCAAAGTTAAGTATTTAAGGTCCCTATGCAACAGATTAAATAAATAAGAATAGGATGACATGGTGCAGGGCAAGCAGTCTATTAGCTTAAAAGGTGTATTAAGAGTGAGACACTGATGTTATCCAGCCTGAACTGCGAATGATTTAGAGCAGTGTTTCAAGGTACAAAAAGGGTCTTGGTCATAATGTTACTTTATTTCTAAGTAGAGTATATAGAAAACTTGAAGCAGCAGCTTCAAGTGGGAACACTTTGTGCCCAAGAATCCTGACACCAGTAGCTTGGAGGGCAACCCACTAGGCCTGTTTGCCCTCTTGAAGCACATGTCCTGAGGAGTGAGATCATGCCTCTTCACACAGAAGATCAAAGTTAAGTCTCCCTCCCTGATGTGATGTAAAATACAACTAAACAGTAAGGTCACATTTTACTTTAAAAGAAAAAGATATACTATACATAGCCAGAAGTGGTCACTGAACAGAGCCCTACTGGCAAGGCTGGTGGAGGAGTTTCTGAATCAAATGGGGGGGTGCATATGACACACTTGCCAAACTGCTCTGCACCATTCCAACAGCCACAGACAAAAGCAGACTTCTAAGCTAGAATTTGTGGCAGATCAGTGGGGTTTTGAGGATCTAAGATTTGAATCTAGTTGAACTGGACAGCTAAATTGCTCAATTGAAAGTCTCAATTTTTGCTTTGCTTTAAGTGCAAAATTGGTAGACGGATAATAAACTCTTTTGAAGAAGAAGTCGCCACAACTAGGAAGCATCTTGTGGATTACTTTGTCTCCAAGCATCAGTACACACCACCATTGCCACTGCCTCTCAGTGATGATCCATCCACTCAGCACTCAGAAGGCTCACACTGCCAGTCAAAGTAAGACCAGGAGAAGTGAAGTGTCAAGTCCGATTCTAAAAGTTTCTCTTCTTTATGTGGTACAGTCATATCTTTATCTGAGTATGAATATAAAGCTAAGCAGTTGTGTGAGAAAGTGTATGTAGAGAATTCCCTTCATAGGATCTCTGGAACAGAGTTCAAAGCTTTTTATACTAACTCCTGTCTTTCATAATATGCTTTGTTGTTATGCTTAAGTGTGGACTAATAGTAGTCCCACTAACCTGTGAATATGTGAAAAATGTCTAAGCAAATACTTATATTATTGTGGGTTTTAGCAGACTGATTTTTTTTTTTAATAAAGATTTAGAACTCTGAGTACCTTTTGTGATATCTGTTAAAGGCTTATACCAAGACATACTCAGATCAGAACAGTTCTGCTTCACAACACTTCCCATAGAACCAAGTGGATCCCTCTGCTTTAAGTACCTACTTTATCTACACTCCTGCTTACTGTTAAATTATATTTCGAGATCAGACAAAATTGTCACAGAAAGTGACATCCAGCAGAAATAGCAGGTGTCCTGAATAAGGGAAGACACAAGGTTTGTAAGACAGTCACAAGGAAGAGCTCTGGGGATTTTGGTGTGTACACTGAAACGTAACAAAAGCTAAAGGCCTAATATTCTGTTTTGAAAAGTTTTTCTTGTTATAATTTCAAACTCACTGGGCCTTTTTTGAAATCTTATTAATTCCCATTTTCCTTTATGAGAGGCTATTGTAGAGTGGTTGTAGACAACAGTTGAAATACGTACTTGCAAATACTTTTGGTTTTTAAGATGGACAGACCTTTTTCAATAAGGTGAAAGTTTCATACATAGTTTGTCATGTCTTAGGTGGTGAACAATAAGCATCTTTTGGAACTCCCCTGACTTGTCTTGCCACTCTGTAGGAAAATCCTAAATGCTGGGGATCTTAAAAGCATGTATTTCAATGTTCTGTAAAGCATTTGTGAATTACCTGTAGTGAGAGTAAATTATCTTTTAACTTGACACATCATTCCATGAAGTGTTTTCAGTTACAGCAATGAGGCTTGCATGCTTAAATCTTTAAAAAAAAAAAAAAAAAACACTTTATAGGTTTATCTAAGAAACTTCTCTTAGAGAAGTTAGAGTAATGTTTAAGTCTTCAAACAATAATAACTCAAAGTTCTGCTCTAGGAAGTGAAGAAATGTTGTGGGGGAAACCTAAACATGCATTTACCTCCCTCTTTCTGTTAGAACTGTATTCTAGTGTCAGTCTTTAATTATGATGATAACCATATAATCAATGACAATCACATCACAGTATTACATGGTAACTACATGTTGAGTTGCAGCTGAATGCAGAAAATGATGGCAGGAAATCAAGAATCAGAAAATTAAAGTCCAACAATGCACCGGAGAACTTGGTTTGTAAATGGCCTGTGAACAATCCAGCTGTTACATTGTTATTGCAATTATCATATTGGGAACAGCAGTTGTTGTGTGACATTATTAGTCTGTAGTACAGTCCCACCTAGGAGTACCTTTCTGGAAACTGGTACTGCAGCTCTGCTGGTGAGCTTCTTGGGCTTGCCTATAGAGAGCTGGGCACAGAGCTATGCAGACAGACTTGCACAGACTTCATTCTGAGTAATTTTGATTTAACAAGTCATGAAGGAGCTCATGTTCTGCCTAGCATCCTCCTTCCCCAATTTCTAGGCACTTAGTTTCAGATTCAAATCCCAAATGCTGCATTCTTTTTATTTTAATATATGGGGGTAAATAGATATCTCAGACTTACATCTGTAACAGCTGTTGAAGAGTTTAGCTAAAAATTTGCAATCCTTATAGAAAACAGGATGAATTAGGAAGCACTGAGGAGTGAATCAAGAAACCCCGAGGAGTGAAGGTTGCACTGAAGATTTCCTTGAGTTGTGCCACTGTGCCAAAAACTGTGCACTTCTCCATGAGAAGAGATGGAGCAGTAGCTTTGGGATTAAGTCAACCAGGCTGAGGAGAACTGAGTTGCAGTCCCTTCTTTGAGATATGCAGTACAACTTTAAATAAAACACACAGGATCCTCAAAACAGGGAGCTGAAGTCAGGACTCCCCTCCTTTTTGAAGCAACTCTCTTACAAGAAGAGAAGGATATGTGTTCCTTTGAAAAACATTCATATTCATTATATGGCTGATGATGATAAAGTGGCTCAAGTAACACTGATTTTTGTGCCCTCTCTCAGACATGCAACCATCCATGAAACTGCCCTTTATTTAAATTTGTGCATCACTCACAAGACAGGAAAATGAGCTGGTTGCATATTACTGGAGAGAAACTATACCAGTATAAAAAAAAATAATTCAACTGTGAAAAAGGCATCTTCCCCGAGACCTGTTAACTAGCATTTCTGAAAATTCTAGTATATCCATGTGTAAATGGTAGTATTAAAGCTAGATATGTAGTGAAAATGCTTTCACATAGCAAAAGGCACAGCAAATCTTCTACATCAGGAAGGTCTAGTAACTGTTCTTAGCTTCAGTGTTACTGTTTATTAGTCTTTATGGGTTAACTGGTTACATGATTCTGTAGATCTTATTGAATGGCACTTAAATGAAGGACTTTCTATTAACTTCATTTTGTCTGTGTGAAGGCACACATACCTATTGCACACACCTCGATTCCTTACTTCTGAAAGTCAGCACCTATCACTTATTTTAGGCATTGCTTAAAAAAAGCTATAATCCCAGGATGCATAATAAAGTAGTTCCCTCCCTCAAGTGCTTTCAAATGCCATCATTCATCTGTTCATTTTCCAAGTGACTATTTCCCAAAGAAGAACTAAAGCCCTCAGCTTGCTGTATCTTTTTTGTAAATGCCCAAAGAAAGCTTATCTTGGCTGTTTGCCCATTTCCTGCAATCTGGTCAAGTAAGGAGCTACAACCGCTTAGTTCCTTTAATGTGTCTCATTGAAGACTTATGAGGATTTCCAACCAAAAAGCCATTCTATTCTCTCTGCATACTTTAAACCCAATTTTTTAAACAGAAAAATTTCTAAAGCCTTGATATTTACAATGAATAAAACACACAATATTTTTTTAAAGGGTGTAAGAAGTCCTGGGTCATTTGGCAGAATACTGGTGATAAATTTTCATCATTTAAGTTAACAGTAATAAAAATAGTTGAATAGATTAGCAAAAATAAACAGTATTATCTGAACATGCAAAGTGGTTATGGTCAGATATGGTACAAGTAGGAAAGAAGGATAACTTTTTCAGTTATTTGTTTGGAAGGTATGTGCATGATGAACACTTTGCATGTCAAGAAAGCTGAAGGGGAGAATGTTATAAAAATTAAAAAAGCAATTAATAGTAAGATTAAATATGAAGAAAGTACCTAAATGAAGAGTAAAATTAATCCAGACATCTTAGATATTAAGGAAATAGCCATGAAGTCTGATAAAGTAAGTCATCAATGACTGTATCAGGTCACTGTGAGAATAGGGAGTCACAGGTCTCCTGAATCCCATTCTGATTTCTCTACATGGCAATATCTGGTTTTTCTACTCTTATCCAGGAAAGTAGCATGCTACATAATAGAATACAAAGGCATCCTCAAAGCATGGTAAATAAATGTATAGACTGACAAAGGACAGTGGCTGCTTGAAGTTCAGCAGATTTCACTATCACCTTACCACTCCAGGTTTTGTTGCCTTTTTTCCATCCAAATCCAATCCAAGCCATGACTTGCCATTCAGAATCCACAAACTAGCAATAATCTACTACTGCACACCATTCATGTACGTAAGAACATACCATGTGAAAGGACAGCACTTTCTTTTTGCAGAATCAATATTTTCAGTGAGTTAATCAGCTCATGAATGCAAGCAGACAGGACTGTTAACATACCGAGCAGTCAGATACCAGCTTCCATCCATCCTTCAGTCGTGTAAAATCCTTACGAATATTTGTGGAGCCTGGAAAATCTTCTAGTTGACAAATTTCATCCCATGGTTTTGGAGGAAGCCAGGTACATGGATTAGGAAACAGATTGTCCAAACCTATGCCTCAACAGAAATTTCCGTTCATTCTCGTTAAAGCAAAGTTGAAAATACTGCTCTCAGAACTAAATAAATAAAATCTAATGGGTTTAGTACATTATATAGTAAATCAATACATTTATCTGAATTCTTGCATTAGTTCAGAAAGCTTCTAAACGACTACTAAAAGCTTATTTCTAAAGTATTCAGTGTCTGTTTTTTAGTTAAACACGAATTTAAGGAATCAAAAAACCTAATACACGAGCCAATTTAAAGAGTCATCTGCGTTCCTGACTTGAGAAATGAACAGTTTTAACCGATGAGAATTTTAAGCCAATTCTTGGAATCTAAAAATGTTGAAAGAAAAAAAACTGGATGTGTTTCAGGGAACCAAGCATTTTTCAACCTGTTCCTATAATGCATATCTAAATATGAAAAAGAAATATCAGCCTATTAAATGTCTCATTCTTCTCTCTAAGTTTAGTGGCTTGAATTTTTTAATCAGGTCCCTGGGAACGGGAGAACAGTGTCCCACAATTATTACTGTCAACTCTTGAAAGAAATGTATTCTCCAATATAAAAATTTCAAAAGTTTCTAAAATTTTAGATCTTTCCATATTACACCAAAAGAAACAACTCCAAGCAACTGTAAGTACTGTTTTGGTTTAAATTATGTTTAGGGAAAAAAATGTTTAGAGAAATAGTTATCATCTAGCTCAGTTATGTATTTATTTTATTCTACAGAATCTTTTTCTATGCTTATAATTACTTATTAAAATTAAAATAAAACAGAAAAAAATTAGGCATAAGTACTATAGTTATATATAAACTAATTTTTCTATTCTTATCCTGCATGTTCCTATTATTGACAGTTTCTATATTTCATTTATGTCATATCAAACTGCAAATTATTTTTAACTACCAACCAATCTAACATATTTCAGGAGATTCACTGTTAGACAAAAAGAGAAGAGCAGGTTGTCCTTCCCAAAGAGGGAACTATAGACATTGATATAAAGCAAGTAGATAAAATGATCCTTGAGAATCTTAAGCCTACAGGTGTCAGAAAAAAAACAACCTTCCATTAATATCACTTTAAGGAGTGTGTACTCTGGAGACCTATTACGAATCATTTAGATCTCCTTTTTTCTAATAAACTCTCTGGTCAGTTACCCCAAAGCAATCATTAAATGCATGTACCATTTTGTGAGCAAAATAATGTAAAATAAGCCATTTAAGTGCAGTTACATCTTAGTACATGACTTTCAGAGGAAGTGAGGGTTCCCTCTTGAAAGGGACAAAAAAGAGCAGCATTTTTAAAATTCGTTATGAATACCAGAGCCAAAATCAAGAGTTCATCTCCAAAGGTTACCTGAAATATGTTTCCCACTCTACAGAGTATTTTTCTTAATACACTATGATACAAATATATTCAAAGCAAGAGGCCATCTATTTCTTTATAAACGTTTAAGTTTGAATACCTTGAATACCTCAGTAAAAATAAGGAAAAGTGTAAGAATTTGCACAGCTACTTCAAATACTTTTTTCAAGGTAGGAACAAAGATGTGGAGAAGTGCTATGGCTTTTTCCCAGTTACCAAGGCAGAGAGCTACTTGGAGGACTATTCCTGTATTTCAGGCACGGTGATAATTCTGAAACCTAAATGTGATTTGTAATAGCTAAAAAGGGGAAAGCTTTTCACAGAAGATCGAGAACAAGAGCACACTATGTTGTTTGAACTTTGTCTCCTTCTCAGTCTTGTGTTCAAGCTATTTTTTTCTTCTATTCAGCTAACAAGAAACAGATAATTTTTATTATATAAATAGTCCTGGTTTTTTTATTAGCATTAAGTCCTTTCAAAGTTACTGGTTCCTCATCAGTTAAATGGATATAGATACTATTTATGCACAAAATACTGAAAAAAAAAAAGATGCCTGTGGAACAAAATGTAAACTTTTTTCAAGTTACAGAAGTAACATGGTTTCCATTAGACAAGAATGATTAAAAGAAAAAAATCTCAACACAAAACCTGTTGTAAAACAAGTCCGACTAGTGAAGATAACCCAAGAAAAACAGTCTTATGTGAATCATTAATTCACAGAGAATTTTCTGTGAGGCTGTGTGGGCAAAATTATCAAAATGGGCTTACACCAGTCATTCCCTGGGAATGCATATTGTCAGCTGGGATTGAGGTCCTGTATCTTCATATTTCTGCTGACAGAAAGGGTCTGAATCAAAATGAGATGATTTTATTTATTACTTACTTTAAGTTAGGCACAGGGGTTTTTGAGATATAAAATAGTAAGATTTAAAGTTAAAGAGTTAAGTTTATAAAACACAGATTGCCCTGTTGGTAAAAGCTACCTCAAAGGTACATTCAAATATGATACCACAATATTAAGATCTGAGTTAAATGATTACTAGCAGTATCTTTAATTTAACAGTTATGCTAAACTTGGATTTCCCAGACCTTGCACCTGACCCTAACTATACTGCAGATAAAAGAGCTTATGTAGATTTTGCATTTGAGGTGATTATTATGTTAAGTCTGGTAAATATTGTCATAATAAAAGGTGACTAAATAGCATCAGGAGATCCAGACTGGGAAAGATGATAAAATCAATTAATTAATTAAATTCCTGACTATATGAAAGAATGACAGTATTGCAAGGTGGAGGATTCGATATAAGAAACATCAACACTTTTAAGATGATACCGGTTATCCAGCAGTGTAAAAAAAGGTGTTGGCAAGGAATGAGGAATGAACAAATGCCAGAAACTCTTCCCTGGTTTTAGCCAAGGAACCATTTTAAAATTAAAACATTGTTTTAACATTGTTAACATTGTTTTAACAAGTTGCACATTTTCAAAATTCGCACCTTAACAGATGTTTCAGGAAGAGAATGTGGATTTCCCAGCTTAGTTGCAATATAAAGTGGAATTCAGGAGCACACTCAATAGTGGATTTTCCAAGGCAAAGACTCCCTGACTACTTAAATGTCTGAGTAAAAGTGTCTTTAGGATAGGATCAAGTTCTTCTCCAATATTTTCCAGTAGCACTTCAAAATAACATAAGAATTAGTAAGACTTTCTTGGCTTTTATATTACTGATTGATTGTTCTTTACAAAACATATGAATAATGTGTATTTGCCATGTGCAAACAATAAAAATATTAACTGAGCAATATCTAGAGATAAGGAGAGTATTCAGGTGATTGAAAAATTAATCAAAGAAATGTACTTTTAATTTCTTTCTGTAATATGATATAAATTTGCAAGAAAGCAACTAAAATACTATCGCTGTTACTGCTGCCAATGGCTTAGAACAGTAGTTTAGGGCTACCATTTCTAAAAAGCAAAATACCAGCAAACTAAATGCCACAGAAATCATTTTAGGTGACCAAGTCTGCTTCAGTTTTCACCATAAGCATATGAGAATGTCAAAATCAAGAAGGAAAAAATGGAAAATAAACAATCCATCTCTACTTGAAGTCCAGTTAGCCTTTGAAAAATAGGTTGAATTGTAACTATGTGTTTCATTATTTCTCTTTGAGGTACTAAGAGTACTTGCAATAGAGATGCTACAGAGAACATGAGAAGCATTAATGGTCACAGCCTAGCAATCTGATATTTATACTCTTGAAAAGAAAAAATAATATTACTTTCTAGAAATAATATTATTCCAACCTGAAAACAAAGAAAAGGCAATTCTCATAAAGCAATTAAAATATATAAATTAAATTGAGTATTATGTTGTGCTAAGAAGTATCTTATTACCTGGGGTGAGGGCTTCAATTACTATAGTACTCATTTCATTCAAAAGAAGGGGAAAAAATCTGTTTTCCTTAACTATAACATTTGATACTCACTAGTTTCATTTTTTAGGTAATTATGCCCCCTCCAGGTCCTTCTGTAATTTACACTTTGAGTCATTAACCCTCCAGGGTTGCCAAACTGAATCAGTTTTCCAGTGTTGTAATAAACTGAGGGTCACTGAGTTTGGTTATATGCAAACTATTGGCTTTTTCCATATCCTTTATTCATTTATTCTAAGGATCTATCATCAGAGGGCATTTTCTTGCATTGCTGAAGGGAAAAATACAAACTTTCAAAATTGAAATATAAGCTCTTCAAATGTTTAACTCAAAGTACTTCTTAAGGCAATTTATTCCTTTTTGTCATTACAACAAAAGTGTGTCAGTGTGAAATCATAGTGGGCACATATTCATGTGCCCATTCCCATAATCCTTGATGAATTTAAGAGGAGGTAGATGAATCCTTAAGTTCTTTGTTTACCAAAACCAATCTTCCTCCTTCAAAGACTGTACTTAGAATAAGAGTTACTTCCTAGAGAGTTTAATCGCATTTAATTTTATAACTTTCAAAATAACAATATCACTCTTAAGTTTTGAAACTTTGAACAGCTTTAATACAGTCATATGCATAAGTGAGCGTTTTCAAGTGAAAACAAATGGAATTTTCCACTAATGAAAATGGATATTGTGGAAGAAAGATGGCACAAATTTAGGAGAGGAAGTTTTGGAAGAGAAATACACCACGAGTGGCAGTAACCTGAGATTATACACAGGATACTACAGAGGTTCCTTCTCTGTTATGGATCAGAACCTGTACATGGGAGTGACCATTCACCACCTGAAGGAGGATGGCTTTCTTCCCCCTTGTAGAATGATTTAGGAAAACAGTTCATCTGAAAGGGATCCTGTCCATCTTACCCACCATGGAAGAAAGCTTTCATGGGTAAAATGCATGGCAGAGATTCAGGAAATGCATTTGTAATCTACCAGGACAGCAGGATGTCAAAGCAGATATGAAGAAAGTTAAAGTGTAGGCTTTGTAAAGTTACAAATATTTTGAATAATTTGATACACACAGATAAGGGAAAATGTGGTAACACAGTAGTTCTAGAGAAGCAAACAGAGCATTTGAAACCTGAGTGTCTGTCAGATGAGGCA